GGGGGGGGGGGGGGGCGTCGCGCAACGGATTGTCCCAGCAGTCTGGGACCTCGCGGCGTCGAAGATCTCACGTAAATTACGGTGAACTTTGAAAGGAGAAATCGAAAAATTATAAATCAAAGTTTTTGGAAACTGCAATTTTTATGCGCTATGTAACCGAGCTTTAGTTAAATAATACAGAAAGTTGTAAGCCGATGCAGAAATTTGTATTCCTTGTGAAAACGGCACTTTACTCTGTTATCATTCGTATAACGATAAAACTATTTGCCCGATCGATATCTGCTCGTAAAAATTGAATCTTCGAAGTGAGTGCAAGTATAATTTGAGAACTCTTTAAAAATTTATCATCGCCGAAGGAAACGCTTAAAATTTTCAAACGTGATTGACGTTTGACCCAACTTTCTTTACAATGTTTAAACAATTTAAATGATGCTCAATTGTTTCTGCGAATATTCTAAAAGCTCAAAAATTACGTTTAATGTATATTTTGGTTTGAGAAATTTATTATATCCGTAGTACTCTTCGAGATACGAAGATGAAAGATAAACCGCTGCGTGAGTCCATATACGCATATGGACTTCGTGCGTGGAGAGTATAAACTTAAATGCGATAATCGTGCGTATTTATCCAGTTAAAAAAATCTGGAATAATTGATTGACAGCCTATTTCGAAATTCGCCTTTATACCTCTAGAATTAAATAGCCCCGAGAGTCTTCTCGTAAACTTGCGAGGGATGTTAATTCTTGGCAGACCAAGAAACGGGTAACTTAGGGGATGACGAGGGCGTGACATCGACACGTGTACTCTTTCATTGTCAGCCTCGACGTTCCGTACTCGGTAAACTTGTTATGTCCCAGCTGTCAGCTGACTTTATAGTCAGACGTAGTCGGTCCACGAGTTGAATATATAGTTTTGACAGTTTGCAAAACCACACACGTGCATACTCTGTAACAAGAATTTTGTTCGGAGCCACGTGCGATTTGCCGACTGTCAAAAAAACACGTTTAACACGTGGACAGACTATACCTACTAATAGCTCTCATTTGTACGTTACGACGATCACTGTGACTTTTCATCGGGTCAAAGGCCAAATTTTTCGTCAGTGTCAGTGGCTACAGCTGCATAGGCGCATCGTAGCCATTACGCTCGCACTTAGACACGAATCGCCTGCACAATGCTGCTGCAGACTCAACTGCGCGAAAACCGACGCCATTTATCCGTAGGCTTTTATCCGTCCAATTTGAAGCGCTGCTTGAACCTCTAGCTACCCATTGGCAGCGCGCAGTCTCCACGGGATAACTAGAAACAGAAAAATTGTTTCCGGAATTACAATGAATATTTTTGTTATATGGGTTTCAAAAAACTGTTAGTTGACTCCGTCAAGACTGCATTTGACACACTGTATTCTTCCACTGTCTCTGTCGCTCTCTGTGACACGTGCTCCTGGGCCCGTGAAATTATGAGAAACTTTCCTTTTCCGCGTGTCTCGCAACAGCATTGTGTTCGCGATTAATAATTAGCGACCGGTATCTGCAGCCCCTTAGTCCATAGACTACGGGCCTTTATTAATGACTCCGAGTCTGTGCAATGCCATTACATTATTTGGCACGTGGAAACGATATCTTACAGACGCGCGTAAGAGCATCTTTGTAAAAGGACTTTTATTTTAGGCGTGCCAATGCCCGCGCAGGGTGGATCGATGAGTTCTGCTGCACGTGAATACAAGTAATACGGTGGAGAATGCAGGAAATGGAGAAGGAGGAGGATGAGGAACTTGAATTTAGTCGGTAAGAGAAATGCTCCGCTTAATATTTAGAGGTTATGAATGGATCTTGGTGTAGATAAACGAGGCGCAGTTCCTTTGGCACAATGGAGAGATCCAATCGACCCTGGAATTGGCTGCGATATTCCTCACAAAGGAGAAACGGAAAGCCCGGAAATGCTAATACACCTCCTGTCTATAAGGGATTGCTTTATGGTGTTTTTGGGCATAGCTGGCTGCTCGTGACGGAAAATGAAAAAGATTCATCCCCTTTGGATTTATTAGCATTTTAAATATCGCCAAACAGTATTCGCCCTGGGGTTAAAAGAATATTTTGCCGAAAGGACTATTCCTCCGTGAGGAGGGGTAGCGAGATGGATGTTTGCCAAAAATTTTATTGTTTCGGACGATTATAAGGGTGGGCACGTAAAAATAGGTGATTGGATTAGCATTGCTAATTTATAATTATCGTAAATTGCTATGAGGAATATTATCTTCCCCCTCGACTGCTTCTCGCCCAGTTGCGAAATCTTCGTACTTACTCGTCATTCTTCTCAATGTTAATTAATCGTTTAGTCAGGATCCCTTGAAATCTTATATTCGTATTCGCCCAAGATTCGCGAATTCACTTTAAGTTTGTTACCCTCTTATGCTAAATCAATTTCTGCTAATATATCCTGTAGGCAAAGGGGCGAGGGCTTTCATCCGTTATCCTGGAACCGAAGGACGGAAAGGGCTGCTTCGTAGTCATATAGGAATAACTTGGGGACGGGCTTTTCAAACGCACGCTGGCACTTTAATCATATCCAAAGCGATTGCGTCGCGAACTTTCGTATGCTAGTTACGCGACCATGATTAATTAGCCATCAGACAGATTTTCCCGTCGGATTATAATTTTTGGCAGGGTGTTCCGTAATTTTTTATTTTTCAATGCCATGTTCGGAAAAATAATTACTATAATAATAAGTCACTCGAAGTACGCCTAACTGATAAACGCATTACACCGAAGATGGCTTTAACTATTAACTGAGGCTGATTAAGGGAAATTGTCGCCGGGTAATCTGGCCAATCGCGTGCGGCCCTTTTAGTTCGGTAGAACTGTCCTTGTCCCGACTGTCTAGTTTATAATAGGATTTCGAGAGGGTGAAAAAGAGCCTAAGGGTTGAAATACTGACGATTGCAAAGAGACAGGTCCCGGAGGGGGTGGACGAAAGTCTAGAAAAAGTATAGAGTGAAGGGACGAATGGGCGGAAGGGGAGTGACGATTAATTCCTGGCAAACGAAGCTCAACGAGTTTAATCCATTAATTAAAGTTGTAATCTTGAAATCAGTCTGCTAGCCCCAACGGGGCCTTTAGGAACGGATAGATAGGTGCGGGGTAATTTGAACAGAGGTCATTGAAGGGTTGCAATTGGGCTGTTTGGAGGGTCGGGGTGAATTGAATGTCTGTAAAAAGATCCTGAATCATTTTTATTAGAAATAGCAAAAAGTTTACTAAATCTCTCTCTTCGGTTTTACCTCTTTTTCTCAGCCTCATTGATTTTCGCCATAGCAGCAGGCCAGTCGCTGTTCTCATTCGTTTATGGTTGTCTGGCGCATACGCATCAAGACGACAGCAGCGCTCAAGTCTTTCAGGAAATTATTACCGTTTCCTTCGTGGCAGGAAATTTGTAATAACTTTTTACCCTTCCTCAATTCCCACCATTGCTAACAGCCCTTCTTCTTTCCACTCTCTGCGCGGTCGACCTTTAGAGCTAATACTACGGGTTCCGTGGTCCAGAGGGGTAAGTCCCTATCAGGGTCACAGGCAACGCGCGGTACTTCTTTTATCCCATATTCTCATAAACCATCAGACGAAGGCCCACCAGGAAGCTTCCGCCGAAGTAATTACGGGGGTTAAAAATACCACGCGCAACCCCTCCGTGGAAAATAATGAGTTTTAGAAATGCCGACGGAGGTGAAAAATTCGCGGGCTCAAAGGGACCGCAAACGTAGTGATACATACACAGTATAGTTACTTATTTACTTTGAACCGGTAAAGCGCGAAAAATAGCGAGGCTTTTACGGCAAGGCGGCTGACTGTGCAATTTAAGAATTTACTTTATCCCCATTCTCCCAAGATCCACGGAAAATACGAGTAAAGTACTTCAAAATTATTTCTCTTCTCTCCACCTATGTCTTACCACAAATATATTGCAGACCGTTAAAATATGTAAGAAGGCGTATATGGTATCGTACACAATATACGCATATGTGTCACGTGGTTCCGAGACACTTAACCCGCAGGAGGCTAAATGTTTTTGGGTCGCGCTGTGGCTTGAGTAGATTACGTTAACGGTGGGATGAATACAAGAAGAAGCGTTCTGCAGAGATACTGTATAATACTGTATAATCCCATGACAAAATGGCCCGGCCCACGTCTCTCTTTGACACACAAGGTGCCCACGGCTATAATAAAAAATCTATAGGTATACATATAGTATCTCTACGAAAACAAACGCTAGAATGCAGCTCCGCCCTGCGGTAACAATTGTAACTACCGAGCTGTGCTGGTCGCGCTAAGCGCCATCGCGGCAATTTTGTGTACTAGGTATAAGTAATGTGAATATTGGAAAAGGATGACGAAGCTGTAAGACACTGGTCAAGCGAAGACAAAATATTATTAACACTGTCTATCCGATACTGCGATCGAAAACCTTAGGTAAAAGGGAGTAGACATCAAAATTTTAGCTTTGCCCTCTGTCCTCGGTTATGAATTTCGTATTTTTCTTGGGAATTGAAAAAAAGTTGTATTATCGTAAAAAGTTATATTCTACCTTCTTACGCTATTTGATCTCGCGGGCTCGTGACGTTGCCACACGGGACGTTCTATTCCAGGGTCTGGCAAGAATTGCTATTCCTAGTGGACGACTATGAAATAATTCCGAGCTACTTTTATCGGTTCTGCGCGTCCTGCTATCATTGTACCCAAGATTCCCGAGTCGCTTGGGTAATACAAGAAGTTTAAGAGCTCGTTATCGTTTTCTTAATGAAAAAGTTTAAATCGACCTTATTCGGTAACGTTATTGTCCATCCCACATTCCAATTTGTTTTTAATTAAATGTTGATGGAAAAAAAAAAATTATGTTTGGTCCTACGTGAAAGCCGGTCCAGGCTCTAATGGGAATCTAAAAAACTTTCTCTCGTGAACTTCATTATTTTTGCCATGAACAGATCTTCTAAATGGTCCGGGATATCCTAATGACCCAGTGATGATTGTTCCGTTTTTTCTTCTTTCCTCTTCTTTTTTACTCGAGTAATTTCGAAAATGCGATATTTTCTCATTATGGTGGCTGATCTATGTACCTGGGAAAAGTTCATTAACTCGTAAAGGTATCCCGGCCCTGTATCCCTGACCCTAACGCCCACTCACCTATCGTGCCTCCTCACGGCATAATATCATCTTTGTATTTGCCAGAGCACTTATAGGCATGTATACACACATGCCCGTGTGATGTTTGAAGCTGAAGCACACATGGCCATGTGGCAAAGTTATCCCCCACCTACCTAGGTGCATTGGCTGTCTTGTATACTATACCTCGCCTAGTCCAACCTATACATCGCCTGTTTCTCTTGGCACATCAGCAAGGATCAACTCATTACCAGTTCATGCACGTGTGGTCATCTTATGGGATGATGAAGGCTGCCCTCGTGCTGTACTGTAATTACTATGGTTCGCAAGGACCAACGAAGCCTCAAGGCAGTTGGGAGAAATCAGCGGTTCTCGGGTAAGAACGCGATGTTTTTCTGAAACTTGATAGTGGAAATGATTAGCTGCGTAGGCACTTTTTCCTCGTGTCGTGGTACACGCACGGGGGGAGCCTTTGGTCAGTATACATCTTTTTTTATTTAGTCTGCGGTTTAAATTACCCACATGCTCGTAATAAAATTGTTGAGGTCTACTATATATGATAATATGATAATTTAAGATCTGACAGGAAATACGAATAGGCAAGTATACCATTTCGGAAAATACGTAACAACGCTCATGCGTGGGTTCGATGTAATAACATTGGACTGTTTCTTTTTCACTTCTTGGAGCACGTGATCCTGCCGATCGAAGTGAAATGATACGGTACCTACCTACGGCGGGCTGGTAGGTTACGCCTACGGTAAAAACGTTTCTAAAGAAGGATAGGTATGTAATAAGGAAGAAAGATCTTCGAAACGTAATTTAATCGGAAGTCTAGGGAGTTTTAGGTGGAGTCCAGGGTCATGATATCGTTAGGCGAACCCCGTCAGCGTTAACTTTATTTACCTCGGACCCCCTCCGCCCCTCTCTGCTTCAGGGGGTGGGTTTGGGGGCTTGGTAAGTATAGCACGAGATCGTATTACTCGGTGGATGCCATTAGCCAACGGTTACGCAGGTCGAGCTCGGTTTAATCGAGGCGGATGGGTAAGAGTGAGTGGTGGCAAGGTTGAAAGATTGCAACATCTATAGCCAATAGTGAAGACTCTTTTGAACCAGGGTATCATCCCGCGTTAACCCCACTATGTGAACACTCCCATATACAGATTCAATACGTGATGTAGTTTCGCTAGGGGGATATTTCCTATAGCACTACCATAGACACCACACCCCTTTCGCCTTATGCCAACGTGCCAAGAGTACTGGATCCCATCTATCATGTAGATGCCTTTTAACTGATCGGCTTCGTAATTTTACTCAACCCCACTTCCATGAACCTGGGAACCCCTACGGTCCTATTATACTCCTACTTCCTATTTCAGGGCTGCACCCCTGTCCGAAATGAAGAAATTGACTGGCCGTTCGACACTGCGCCTCCGTTCCATCATAGTCGTAGCTTCCTGTTGGTAGAACGTATGGCTCGTAATACAGTGCAAGACAGTATAACTTTTTTTTTTTTTTTATACACAAAATTAAAGTTTCATCCTGAGTCACGTACGACAACCAATGACAATTTTATATTAAAAAAGAAAAGTATTCTCAAGACAAAATTCGTGGCCTTTTCTGCAACTTTCTTT